AATCCTGTATAGGCCACCTTGTGACAATACTCTAGTTCGCCGCGGATGAAGGGGCGTGTCCGGGACTATGAGTGTGTCACAGCGACAAGCCCGTACTTTGCCAGTTGCCAGTTGTTGAAGCGGGCGTGTGACAGCAATTGTAGAAAACGAGTGATGCGGAAGATATGATACAGTCTTTTCACTTGCTCACCTCAACAACTGGTAAAAACGGGTTTGGCACCGCGCCAAACTCATCCCGCCTGACACGCCCCTTCCGCAGCGAAGTGGACCTGTGAACATACCTGTGAATACCTGTGAATTGTTGTATAACATACCTGTGAATTGTTGTAAACATAGTGGCTACTTTTACTATTTCGCAGCTTTACAGGAGTTTACAGGTCTGGCAAAAATAAGACAAGTTAGCATGAACTAGCAAAAGGAACTAGCGAAAGTGTAAGGTGCCCCTTCCAAGCCGAACAGCGCTCAATGAATGGTTTGTGTTGACCAGTATTAGGGTAGATGACGTTATGTAGGAGCGGACTGCACTCAGAGATTGTCTGTCGGGCAGCGGTTCCGTAGAGCAACAATTCCGTGCTTCTCCCGTACCCTTCTACGCTTCTTCTTGCTCCCTTCTAGCTAACTGACGACAACTTTCAGGTTCTACGTTGCCTTCGATGGTGCCCTACCAATAAAGGTTACGTGGTTCAAAGATGGAAAAGAGATCAAGAGCAGCTTCCGAAACCAGGTTTGATATCAGCTACTCCCCTAAAGAAGCATTCCATTGAACTTGGCTGGGCGAAGACTGTTTTGGAGATTTACAGCCGTTGTGCTTTTCGTATAGGGGCAACCCTCCTCTTAACCATATTGGAGTAAAGGCAAGTAGGATGATGCAATAATTATGAGTCTCCGCCCATGTCTGCGTTCACTTGCTCATCACGCAATGTGCCTTTAAGTCCTCTTTCGAAAACTATGTGTTCTGCAGATCACCACCACCAACAACGGTTCCACCTTGCATATCGGACGATTGGAGAACAACCATGTCGGCGAGTACATGGCTCGATTGGAGAACGTCGCTGGAACGGTAGGATAGGACCATTTGTCCCTTCGAACCCCAACCTAAAAGCTGAAAAATCTGCTATTTTCAGATCGAAACCACGGCTAACTTGACCCTCACAGCTCCAGTGCAGAAGGGTAAGGCACCGGATTTCGCCACCAAGCTCAACGACCTTCGTATCGTCCAAAATGCTCCCGCTGTATTCACGTGCAGTATCACCGGTGAACCCAAGCCGATCGTGAACTGGTTCAAGGTAATGTCCCCTCTTACCCAAAAGGGATTCGATCAGTAGTACTGCTCTTCTTCAGGACGGACAACAACTGCCAAATACCGGACGATTCCAAGCCACTGAAACCGACGGACAGTACAGACTCTCCATTTCGAACATTCTGCCGCAGGATGTGGGAATCTATGAATGCGTCGCAAAGAATGCTGCTGGAGAAGCGAGGTAAGAAACGTGTGCATGGCTTATCCGAGAGATTCTTGATCAAGACGTTTGCAGATGCAAAGCTCGACTGAACGTGAATCTGACCCAGACCGGTAAAGGATCGGAAGAAGGACCACGATACGAGGCACCCCGATTTACTACTCAAATTCAACCTATAATTGTCGACGAGGGCAAATCTGCCACTTTCACAGCCAAGTTCACCGGATTCCCAGGTAAACGAAGCATTTGTGGAGCGTTTGCTGATTCACAGATATCGTACCGTAATCCTTTACAGCGCCAACTATTCGATGGTACCGTAACAACGAACCAATTAAGCGATCAGCTGGTCACGAGGTTAGTCCCGCTCTTTTCCCAATAGCGCTGATGGGATATATGTAGCTATCTCTTTCCCAGATTTCCCAGACGAAGGATGAAGCGAAGCTGACCATCACGTCCTGTCAGCAGGAAGACGTCGCTGAGTACAAGGTCGAGGCCAGCAACCCCGCTGGTAAAGCATCATCGGTGGCAAATCTCGTCCTCACTCGTGAGTATACTATCGCTCTTTTGAAGCTCTCATCGAAATTGGGGCTTTTACTAGGCATAGCTAGTTGAGGGTATTGATTATCACGCGAAACCAATCGATAGATGTGATCAGGGTACAGCATCGTGATGTGTGAAATGGTGGTGTCAGTACGATCCCCCAGAAAAGGATTCTGGGAAAGGGCATGGAGCCCCCCCTCCCTTTCCGGCTCAACTGCTTGCTCTATAACGACTCGCCAACGCTGGCGACCGCGTCGAGATTCCGGGACAAATTAGCGGTGGAGCAGATCTGTTGGCCGAATGGAAATCGTGGGGCTTTTTCTGGGGATTGTAGCTCTTTTAGGTGTGGGCTTTTGAGAAAAGGAACGCGGCATTCTGTGCCATTGTAATGATACTCATTTCGCGAACTTCAATCTGCCGTCAACACATGTTCCCGTCGAAGCATAATTTGGTTGTCATCGATCGATTTGGTCCGAGTGTGCGCCGTGCATTACGCTTCTATGCAGAGGTGGTGGAAAGGTGTAACTTCTGATTTTAGGTGATTTTTGCCCATGCAAGCAGATGTTTGTTTAGGGTTTAGAAAAGATCGATACGCATGAATCTGTTAGAGATGTACTATTTAGTCATCTAAGTACTTACGGGTTTATGCTAACTATTGATATTGCTAA